TTTAATATTTTGAGGAACCTCCACCCTGTTTTCCAGAGCAGCTGCACCAGTTTGCATTCCCACCAACAGTGCAAGAGGGCTCCCATTTCTCCACATCCTCTCCAGCATCTATAGTCTCCTGATTTGTTCATTTTAGCCACTCTGACTGGCGTGAGGTGATATCTGAGTGTGGTTTTGATTTGTATTTCCCTGATGAGGAGTGACGTTGAGCATCTTTTCATGTACCTGTTGGCCATCTGGATGTCTTCTTTAGAGAAATGCCTATTCATGTCTTCCGCCCATTTCTTCACTGTATTGTTTTTGGGCGTGGAGTTTGGTGAGTTCTTTATAGATTTTGGATACTAGCCCTTTGTCCGATATGTCATTTGCAAATATCTTTTCCCATTCCGTTGGTTGCCTTTTAGTTTTGTTGATTGTTTCCTTTGCAGTGCAGAAGCTTTTTATCTTGATGAGGTCCCAATAGTTCATTTTTGCTTTTAATTCCCTTGCCTTTGGAGATGTGTCAAGTAAGAAATTGCTGCGGCTGAGGTCAGAGAGGTTTTTTTCCCTGCTTTCTCCTCTAGGGTTTTGATGGTTTCCTGTCTCACATTCAGGTCCTTCATCCATTTTGAGTTTATTTTTGTGAATGGTGTAAGAAAGTGGCCTAGTTTCACTCTTCTGCATGTTGCTGTCCAGTTCTCCCAGCACCATTTGTTAAAGAGACTGTCTTTTTTCCATTGGATATTCTTTCCTGCTTTGTCAAAGATTAGTTGGCCATACTTTTGTGGGTCCAATTTTGGAGTCTCTATTTTATTCCATTGGTCTATGTGTCTATTTTTGTGCCAATACCATGCTGTCTTGATGACTACAGCTTTGTAGCAGAGGCTAAAGTCTGGGATTGTGATGCCTCCTGCTTTGGTTTTCTTCTTCAATATTACTTTGGCTATTTGGGGTCTTCTGTGGTTCCATACAAATTTTAGGATTGCTTGTTCTAGCTTTGAGAAGAATGCGGATGCAACTTTGATTGGGATTTCATTGAATGTGTAGATTGCTTTGGGTAGTATTGACATTTTAACAATATCCAAATGTTTTCAATATGGCTCTTTTTCCATGTTCTCTTCTTGGCCCCCTGAGGACTTTCCCTGGGCTGCAGAAACTAAGGGACAAAAATACCTTCTGCTAGCATCACAATGGAGGGAAAAAATTATTTGGGGCTATACTCAAATATTTAAGAATTTTAGGACCTAAAATCTTCCATGGGGGTAAGAATAATAAAGAATAAAAGAATAAAAGAATGACTAGCAAGACAATATTCTTGCTTTGCTCTCACTCTGGCCAATCAGGACCATTCCAGGTTGTCTAGCCAAATCCCTCTTCACAGAGGGGAGAACCTGTGATATAAAAGCTGACACATAAGCCACTAACCTCCTGGACGGTCTTAGATGCCAGGATCTTCTCAATGATGTTTGCGTCATCTTCTGGAGGCTCCTGGAGACAGAGGTTAAGAAGAAAGAAAATTACTGGCACCACAGAATCCAAGAAATAATTCTGTAAGAAATGCTATAGCAGGTACTACTTGGTCTGAAAGTTCACCATTGAGTGCTGAGGCCTCCCTCCCTATCAGTCCACAGAGTGATCAAAAGATCACAAACATTCTAACATCTGGACACAACCTAACACCTCCCCTTCCACATAAGCAGAGAAGTTATGCGGCTTTTCAGACTCTTAATTTCAGATCTGCCTTTAGCATCACTAAAATTGGTCCCAGGACTTCCCTTTTCTGCCAAACCTGCCTACGTGTTGCTGCATAAAATTTTCAGAAAGGTGTAACAGAAAGGAGTCTGGGGGCCTTAGAAGCAAAGAGTCCTAATTCTTTTTTTTTTTTTTTTTTAATTTTTTTCAACGTTTATTTATTTGTGGGACAGAGAGAGACAGAGCATGAATGGGGGAGGGGCAGAGAGAGAGGGAGACACAGAATCGGAAACAGGCTCCAGGCTCTGAGCCATCAGCCCAGAGCCCGACGCGGGGCTCGAACTCACGGACCGCGAGATCGTGACCTGGCTGAAGTCGGACGCTTAACCGACTGCGCCACCCAGGCGCCCCAAAGAGTCCTAATTCTAACACCTACCAGCTACTGACTTTGGGTAAGTCAATTAACACGTCTTCGTTTCCAAATCTATTAAAATAGGAGTTAAATATACTTATCTCACTGGGTTACTAGGAGGATAAAACGGTATGTGAAAATATTTTTGGAACAGTAAGCACTATGCAAATGCAAGGCATAATTATTCTCTACTAAACGATACCGTCTTTCCCTTCTGTGTCTGGAAATGGCTGTTTCACCCATCATCCTTTGCCTATAAATCCTAACTCAAAACAAATTAATTTCTTCCTTTCTACCCCGGCTACACATCAACATTTCTAGGCTCCTGATCTCCATGAAATCTCTCTACAGAGTATTTGATTAAATAATTACAAACATAAAAAGGATGTGTTGAGTCAGAACACTCTTATGTTTGATGTTCTTTCTGGGACTGTATTTGAGCCGTCCTATTTCAGAGGTTTTGTATGTACTATATGACCTCCTCAGATCTAGTATTTGTCCACAACAGGGTATTCAGAACAGAATGAGAAGAATGCTCATCACAATAGCCGTAGCTCCCAAAATAACTTGGGTTCCTGATCAGAACTTCCCCAAGGATGACTTCATGCTGCATTACTACTGTCTTCGGTCCTACCCATTCCAGGGGTTCGCCTGTCCCAGAGCCACACCATTACAGAAAATGGTATATAAAGGTATATAAAATCATACTTTCCCCAGAAAAGTACTGAAAGAAAGAAAGGAAGAAAGAAAGAAAGAAAGAGGAGGAGGGCAGTTGGTAGAAACGAAGTATGGCGATCAGCAGGCGATGACAGATGCTCCCAAAGGTTACAAATATTTATTACATTCCCCTAGACACATGGCATGGTGCTAGGTGCCATGCCAAAGTTAATCCAAAGTGACAAGAGTCTACTCCCACTGCTCAACAAGAAGACAAGTTGATTGTGCCTACCATATAGTAGGAAGAAGGGATGGGGATACAGACTAAGCTTTTGTTTTTCTGCTCAAGTGTTCTGCCTGATTCTTAAGCACAAGGAAAGGAAGAGGCGGCAGGTGGCTGTTGCCTGCCTTCTCCCATTACAATGTAAACCTTCTGAGGGTAGGGATCCTTATTTGTTTTATCCACTGCTATAGCTAAAGACCTGAAAAGGCCAGGCACCAGTGGGTGACCAGTATATATTTGTTAATGCTAAATACAAGGAAGAGGAAGAGAGAGGAAATACATGAGGAAATAAAGCATCTAACTCACCAGGGCTACAGACTGCAGACAGTTAATATTCTTTTTTTTTTTTTTTTTTTTTTTTTTTTTTAATTTTTTTTTTTTTTTCAACGTTTATTTATTTTTGGGACAGAGAGAGACAGAGCATGAACGGGGGAGGAGCAGAGAGAGAGGGAGACACAGAATCGGAAACAGGCTCCAGGCTCTGAGCCATCAGCCCAGAGCCTGATGCGGGGCTCGAACTCACGGACCGCGAGATCGTGACCTGGCTGAAGTCGGACGCTTAACCGACTGCGCCACCCAGGCGCCCCAGACAGTTAATATTCTTAATCTACGTCACTTAATTAAAAATTCTCTTCCTTCTTCATACACTGGGACCTAGCCATACTGTCAGGATGGCCAACAGCAAAGGGCCAGAGCCTGGTGTAGTTTTCTTAAGCCAAAGATCACTACCCCAACCTTGCAACCAACAAAGGAACAGGTGCCGGTTAAGAGAAAGTAGATGAATGAACAAACCTCCTTCCTCATTTCCTACTTCATTTCCTTCCTAAATTTCTTCCACATTATTTACTGTCTTTTAGGTTTATTCACTGGTCTTACAGAAATAGATGAGCCATAGTCCTCCTCAGCAAGGAACTACCAGATATGCTAACATAACACTTTAAAAGTTACTGGGGCGCCTGGATGGCGCAGTCGGTTAAGCGTCCGACTTCAGCCAGGTCACGATCTCACGGTCTGTGAGTTCGAGCCCCGCGTCAGGCTCTGGGCTGATGGCTCAGAGCCTGGAGCCTGTTTCCAATTCTGTGTCTCCCTCTCTCTCTGCCCCTCCCCCGTTCATGCTCTGTCTCTCTCTGTCCCCAAAATAAATAAACGTTGAAAAAAAAAAATTTAAAAAAAAAAAAGTTATTGAAGTATGGCATACATACAGTATATAGAGATCTCAAGTGTACAACCAATGAATTCTTACACATACACATACCCACTTGTATAAATATCACCTAGACCAAGTTACATAACATTCCCAATGTTCTGGGAGGCTCTCGTGCCCCCACTGGAAGTAACCACTATTTGGATTTCTACTACCACTGATTAGTTTTGCCTACTACTAAGCTTCATGTAAATGAACTATATAGTATGTGGTTCATTCTTCTGTATTTCTGCATAGTATTTAGTTGTATAAATATACTACCATTCATTTATCTGCTGTTGAGGAATATTTGGGTTGCTTCCAACATTTATATACACTGTGTATATTTTGGTGGACAAATGCACTCATTTATCTTGGATATATACCGAAAAGTGGAATTGCAAGGTTATGAGGTAGATTATATATTTGGTTTTAATGAATGTTGTCAAAATTTTTTCCAAACCGATTCTGACAATTTTTATACCCACCAGCCACATATGGGAGTTCCAGGTGACTTAATATTGTCAATCTTTAAAATTTTGGCCATTCTTGTGGCTAAATTCACATCTTTAAATTTAATTAATTCACATCTTTAATTCACATCTCCCTAGCAATTGAGGATACTGAGCACCTTTTCATATGCTTACTGACCGTGTGGATAACCTCTCCGTGAAGCTCCATTCATGTCATTTGCCGATTTTAAAAATTGTCCTTTTTTTAAATTTGTAAGAGTTCATTATACATTTCTGAATAAGTGTCCTGTCAGTTATATAGATAACAAATATTATCTGCCAATCTATGGTTTGCCTTTTGCTTCTATAAATGTCTTTTGATGAACAGAAGTTCTACATAATCCGCCTTATCAATCTTTTCTCTTATACATTCTTGTGTGTTGTTGAATCATGTGGCAGCAATGTGGCAGTGTTGTTGTGGCAGCTATGGCTGCCACAAAGGTCACTCATTAAGCCACCTAAAGTAATTTAAAATTTTCTTGCAGCCACCTTTTTAAAAAAGTAAAAATAGGGGCTCAGTCAGTTGAGCTCCCAACTCTTGATTTCAGCTCAGGTCATGATCCCAGGGTCGTGGGATTGAGCCCTGTATTGGGCTCCATGCTGAATATGGAGCCTGCTTGAGATTCTCTCTTTCTCTCTCTCTCTCTCTCTCTCTTTCTTTCTCCCTCTGCCCGCCTCCCCAACTCGTGCTCTCTCTAAAAATAAAAATAGTAAAAATAAACAGATGAAATGAATTTTAATATTTTATTTAAAGCAATATATGCAAAAATTTA